TCTAAACATGACAATTCTTACACTTTGATGAGTGCAATCATAAAAACAGATTCTTTAGGCATGAAAATGGCTTTGGCTGGAGTTTAAAAGCTCTAATTTTAAGAAAAAGTCGTATGATACATTTTCAGAAAGGGTCAAAATAGAGCTCAATTACAAGTCTGATTTTTTCATAGACCAACCTCAGTGGAGGGACACAAAATCTTGAGGCCTTCTTTGCTGTCACTGCAGGTACTGGCTCATCCAGAGGATTCTTCAAAGCACTTCAAGAACCTCTTGCCTTGAATCATCGTCCACACCAGCATCCCACATTGACACAATCCCAATAGCCTATTTTTCCACGAGCAGAGAAGTACTACACTCATTTAAGGAGAATGACTACAATGGACCATTCTCCCTCAGAGCCTCTGTGTTCTACCAAAACACAGGCCTCCTCTCTTGCTCCCCCTATCCCACCTTGCCAAGGCACTTAAAGCAGCCCTTTTTGTACCAGCACAACTAGCCAACACTACAATTGCAGAACTCCGTGCAACCGGAAAGCTCATACTTAATGCCATCTTTGCTGCGCCAGTGACAGTGCAAGCTTTAAAGAAGCAGGCTACTAATTCTACTGTGTAAAAAGCCAAGCTGTTTCCAATCTGCAAATATGTTATATTCTGTTCTTTCTGCAGTATTACTAATTCCAATTTCTGCTTAATGCTCTGCATTTGAATGGGACTCCCAATTATATGAGTCACTGCAACCATCCTTTGATTATTTCTTTTTCTTTTTTTTTTTTCTTGTCATGAACATGTAATCTGAATCCATAACTGCTGGAGTTTGAAGCTTGCTCTGCACACTTGAAGTGCCATGACAAAGTGGGTTGAAATGTTACATACAGTTTTGAGTTGCTCGTGGCAAGCACTGCTGCCTGAGTGTTTTGTCATTGCTGTCACTTCCTTGCAAATTGTGGCAGAGAGGTGGAGGTGATCTCACCTTCAGCACAACCCCTCCCTATTCCAGCAGGCCAGAGAATGATGTAGTTGCACATTGTGGCAGAGGCAGCTATAAGACCATCCTAAAATGAGGGGAAGTGAGAGAAGAGAGGGTGAATTGCCCAGTTACCTGCAGTATCTTTCACCTTCAGGAAGGCACATCACACTCATTAGTGCTAATGAGAGTATAAACATCCCTTTCAAACACCACTATACCTACATGCATTAGCTGTGAATTCTTTACAGTCTTGGTATGCATGTAAGGCATGCTGAAGCTTACCTGTCATATCCACACTGCCATAAACAGCATCTGGCTGAGGAGGAGAGTACAGTCCACATTCACATTCTTTCTTTTGAGCAGCCCCTTCTACACACTTCTGAACATTCTGGATGACAGCCTGGCATTATACCTACACTACAGAGGCTCCATATAGCAGAAGTAGCATCAGAGCACACTCTTTCACAGTGGTTTGTTTAAATTTCTCTAGAATGAGAGTGGTATCATACGAATGGCACTGGCACAGGCTGCCCAGAGTAGATGTGGATGTCCCATCACTGGAGCTGTTAAAGGCCAGGCTGGATGGGGTCCTGGGCAGCCTCGTCTGCTGGGTGGCAACCAGGCCATGGAGGGGGGTTGGATCTAAATGGGCTTCAAGGTCCCTTCCAACACAAGCCATTCTGTGATTCTATGAATTCCTCATCAAGAGAGTCCAGGCACTTTATAGGATTAAGAGGCAGAAATAGGAACTGAAAAAGTTTAAAATATATCACTGGGGGAAACGAAACAAAACAAAGCTAACAAGCAACAATGACGAAAAAACAACCAAACAAAAGCCAACAATATCCCACAATGTTAGTGTATAATACAAAGAAGTTTTGTGTTACACAGTATGAATTGAAAACCAAATCCCTCAATGAAAATAATACACTACTCAACTGAATAAATCCTTTCAAATAAGTACAATCCCCACACCTGCATAAATGAATTTTGGTGGTGAATCATGTGCTCAAAAGTCTGATTTAAATGGACAAATGCTGACTCTGCGCACATTTTGTGGTCACGTTGGCAGTGTAGGTTATTGAAGAAAATGTCTTTTCCTCACTTGTGAAAAGCTAAATTTACAGCCTACGCACAATGCTTTTCTGGGAAAGCAAATTTTCTAGGAATGTCAGTTACAATTTCAGGAAGGAAACAATGTGGTAATTTTAAAATTCAAATTAGGTGTTGGTGCAGAGAAAGAGAAGAAAAGCTTGAGAGCTGAGTTGTGGCAAAATACTGTGGAACAGGTGAAAAAACCACATTTTCTCTTGTAGCCTCCTTTCTCATTTTTTTTCACACCAGATTCTTATTTGAATAACTGCTTTCCTTTCAAAACTTCCATCCTCTGTCAGTGTAGTGCAGGAAAGTACTGCTGGAAAAGCTTTCCTTGTACTAGAAGATAATTACTAGTTGTTCACTATCTCATTACAAAATCCTTGCAGAGGCCAGGATTTTACCATGCAGATGCTAAAAATTGTCAATATTATATCTTATGTAGCAAAAACTATAGTGTTTCTTCTAGCCACTTTCCCCTGGAAAACCCCCACTTATTTGGAAGATATGGCACAGTGTAACACACCTTTTCTACAACATCTGCCTGATTTAATTTAAAGGCTTTGCAGGGTGGGAACCTGTTAAGAACTACGCTAGGTATGTATATTGTAAAGAACTCTGTCATATCAACAGTGTAACAAAAATTGAAGATCATTATGCCAAAGCCTCAGCTTTTGGTAGGTCTCAGAAATGATGGTATACTTATTTTTAGAGACAACTATAGCAGTAACTCGACATGGGAGACTTTAAAAACAGCAAGTCTGATTTAAACCAATGGAAAAGCCAGGAATACAGACTGGAGATCTGTACTTAATGCACCATATTGCATCTGAACATTTTGTTCCTACCAATCTATCCAAAGCATGACGTTTTGCATTTCATATTAGCATTCTGAAGACATGAAAGGATTCTTCAAACCGATGTTCATATGCCATGTCAGAGCATGTACTCTGACTGCTTAGAGAGCTGTCATGTCCGCCTTTTACTCATGTGCCCACCTTCACCTCCACCTTCCAATCATCCCTCCTCCTATTCCCCAAAAAAACCCTGGGGCTGTTTTTATTGGTAGCACTATTTCAGCAGGAAGAGCTCTACAAATATCATTAGCTCAGCAGGAAGAGAGCTACAAATACAGTTTGTGGGATTTGAACTCCACTTTGGATTTCTGCAGCATGTCAGCTGTTATGCATATGTACCAAGAGTGAATGCTAACAAATCACTGCAGTAATACTTGATGTTTATATACAAATTCTCATCTTCAAAGCACTTCAAAATTTCCCAGTTCTACAAAATCTGGGAGAGGGAGGAAGAGATACAGGCAAGAGCCTTTCTTTGGCGTTGATCTTGATACAATCACTGGTGGTCCCTTTATGCTTCGCCATATAGAAAGAATTTTGCAGTCTGCAAATTTGACTGAAGGGCTAAATTGCCAATAACAGCAAAAACTTTAAAAATAATTCCCCTTCCATGCAGACGGCTCTTATCAGAAACTCTGTTCTTACCTTTGAGTTGAAAACCAGAAAAACCTATGATATGAGCAAAATGCTCTGGGAAATTAATATACATATCAAAATAAAGGACATCTTGATTTCAGAAAATTTTCATGGAAAAAAAAAATCATATTCCAAAGCACTAAAGAAACATAGAACATAATAATGAATCTTAGGTATTTATAAAGATTTTTATAGGGTAAACCAGTAATTCCTCATGAATTACTTCAGTGTTCCAATGGGAAGTGACCTTTTGTAGCTGAAAGGAAGCCTGCATTAACGTGCTGGCCAGCAGTGGATAGGAAAATGAAGAAAACTTATAATGCATTGTTACAGAGTGTGTTACAGAGCCCACTTCTCCTGATCACAAAGCAACAGAAGGATTTTCCTCAATGCATGAGACCAAGCACAATATTCTGTCCGCTGAACGTTTCAAACAACTGCTTCCAAGAGTTCAGCGCCCACATCTAACATGTCCTCTGAAGACTATTTCCACGCTACTGGCACCCAAACGCAGCTAGCAGGTATTGCCCTGAGCGTTGGAGCTCCTTCTGGCGAACAACGTGCAGGCAATGCCCCCTCCTGGCTGTGCAGGGCAGGCAGCAGCAAACGCCTCCAGGTACGCTATTTCGGGGTGGTTTGGTATTTTGCCTGGGATGAGTCAGGCTTGCAACCCTTTTTCATTATCATCCTGAAAATCGGTGTGAAGTGAAACAAAACCTAACTTTTTACTTAATGAGAAAAAAAAAAAAAAAAGAAATTGTAATTAATGTATCATTCTATTTCTTGAATATTCCATTAGGCACGTGGGCCAGCCTTCCCACTTGAAAGCATGGTTTGTATTCAACATGCTTTCTAGGGCACAGAGTTTTGTAACATAACATTTTGTAGAGTTTATGATTTAGAAACATAGACATTAAAGCAGTTCTTCTTATGTGATTTATTCTACAGTGAGATTCCTCTTTTGTTTAAAGCATTTCTGTGTCTGAGAAAATATGGAAGCATGTTAGCATACAGAGGAGTGGGAAATGCATTCTCAGATGAAAGGTTACATGCATTCCAGAAAACATTCCAAGGAAATCAAAAGGCAGTCTTTGTGGGACAACTGTAGAAGTGCCAACTCTTCTTTTACGCAATTTTACTTTGGGGGAAGTAAAAAAAAAAAAGAAATAAATTAGTTTGAAAGTTTAGCAAGTGATTTAAAATAAAATGAAAAATATTGCTGATGAATAACTATAGTGGAAAATGTTTAGTTACATATCAATTAAATTCTCTCCTTACTGCATCTGCAATACCTCAAGTGATGTTTTCTCTGTCTGTATTCTCCTTCTAGCAAAGTATCCTGAAAAAGCAGAAACTGTTAAATATTTCACAACTGGAAGAAAGAAAGAGAATGAAACTTTTTTTTTTTTTTTTTTTTTTTTTTTTAATTGAGACTTCCCAGACTTCCCTTCAGAAATAAACTGAACTTCAACATGCTTGAATTACATATCCTTCTGTTTACAGCCTCCCACTTAAGTCTAAGCTAAACAACAACACTGGCAGAAGAGAGTAAATTTGAGGAACTGAAATGAACTATTTCTAGTTAACAGTTAAGTGAAGCATTTTCCTGTACACCAATATAATGACGTTTGGCGCATCACCTACCAAACCTCAGTTTCTGAAAAATACAGCATCATCTTTCTCATTTGGCTAGTTAAGATCTTTTAATTTTTCTGTCCTCAAAGTTTAAGCTTCTTGCATTTGCTGCTTTTCATTTAAGTCTGCCTGTAAAGAAAATCAGAAGAAAAAGAAGGTGATTATGCTGGAGCTATCTTTGGCTGCACATTGTCTTTGTGGTTTTGACACAGTGCAGTGCAGTAAGACAGACATTATCCTACCCACCCTTGTGTTCTGCAGACATAACGGTGTTGCAGCCTGTACTTATGTGATAACACTTTATCGTACTACTGTGTGCGACCCCAAACATGGTGTGTGTGCCATGGACAGGAAGTGATCTGGGACAGCCATTTCTCGTCTACCCTTGTCTCGGGAGATAGGCTAATTTACCTGTGTTCTCAGACAGATTTTACCAATAAACACCAAATCAGAAAAATTGCTTTGGGATTTGGTTGTTTTCACTGTTTTCCTTTGCTGCAGATGTTTGTTCTCTAGTGTAACACATTTTATTGAAACTGCTGGAATTAGAAAGCATTACTGAAAACAAACAATAAAAAACATATTCCTGTGTTGTTGCTTGTCTTTCTTAATTACAAACACAATTATGAATGTGTATCATATTCTGGAAATCCAGACTGCTGTAGATTCTGAGCACTTAATTTGCAATGCAGTATTTATAGGGGATGGCACAAAGGTACTAAGATTTTAGGGAAATCTATAGTAGTGATAAAGTGTAGCCATCCTTGATTTGATAGCATTTAGAAATGTGGAATCACTAGAACGAAGACCACAAATATTGGAGTTTCTTGGGGAATTTATATGCTTTTTTCAGAATCAGCATACATCACTGCAAAGAGACAAGAGAAACAGGAGTGAAATGAGACAGTCCTTCCAAGAATCGTGAAAGTTGTTGACACAACTGGAAATGGCCAAAAGGTCCTTCAAAGGCTCCACTAAATCTGATCTGAGTCTAGAGACACACTCTCAATGTGTTTCATATAATTTTGATACAGTAAATGGATTTGTCCCAGAAAACTTGCTGTAACTTGCAGTAACTTGCCACTTTAGGAATGTTTTGGCTTGCGCATCCCAGAAATCTCTGCTATTACTTACTAATACATTTCTCTAATTTCCACATGTTTTGTAAAGAAGAAAAGCTCTTAGCAGTGATGTTAATGAAATCAAGGTCAGGTGAAAATCATGCATTTCATTTGTTCTGTAGGACAGGAAATATACAGCACTGGCTAGGTTCTCTCTCATTTATAAAGACACATTGAAAGTGAATGTGAAATCAAGTAGGTAGATCTAATGATGTATCATTGTTCCAACTGATATTCCCAGTTCATATATAATCCATATAAATCCATGTAAACACTATTTCCATATAATATTATATATTTAATACATTTCTGCTCAGCCTACAGTGCTCATTGTGCTCTATCTAAAACTGTAACAACGCATGAAGTTTAAAGTCTTTAATGCCACCTGGTAGCTGAAATAAACACACGCAACATTTTCATGGTCTAGCCACATTCTAGTTGGCTTACTTTCAATAATTTCATATGCTGGAGAAAGCAGTTACAAAATAACAATGGTCACCCTTCTGGCTCTCTTCTGGCTTTCCAGAACTTTCAATTTACAGATCTCTCTACAGAAAAGCAGGTTACCCTACCACAATTTAAGCCTACTGACAATAGCTTACTTGCATTTCATGAACCCTGAAGAAGTAACTCACAGACTCCTCACAGTCTGCAAATCACATTCTGGAACATGATCCATTCCATTAAGACAGCTCTTGAACACTCAGGCGTCAATCAACTGAGGTCTAGAACTGGCGTGAGTGTGTGACTGCTGATAAGAATAGCAGGATGTGTAACATAGGTGCATCTAACCACTTATTTATTAAGCACATATTGCATATGCTCCATCCCAGAAGCTGATCCTGAACTCTGGAAAAGGAATTTTATCATTGACATCTCCCAGAGCAGGATTTGGCCCATGTTTCTTTAACACATGGTGATGCTGAAGATATATGTTGCTATATTACTGAATATTTTTTATCTTATCACATGTAAGCTGACTAAACTAGGAGCTATTTATAGAGGCTAATTCACATTCTTATGGCATATGGATGTGCTTTTTGCCAGCTTTAGCATGAATACAGTTTATATTCATTAAAGCTGAGCTAGCTAATTACCATAGAATTAGTGAAAAGCTTTTTTAGCAATAGTACCTCAAGGTTGCCAATAGTTTCATTTGGGATTCGGAAGGACTGTGAGCTTCTGATCTTCACCAGTGAAAACAGCCACAGCACCTGCCTCAAAGGACTCTGCCTCTGGGCTGGGCTCTCCCAGGAGACCTTCTTGATCAGACCCCTAGCAGTAATCAATGATAAAAAATATGTGAATTAGAACATCCTCCCATTTTCTATAAGACCAGTGTCAGCTCAAAGACGTGAAACGATACACAAAGCCTGCTTTTGAGAACTTTACTGACACAGCCAGCATCACTCCTTTATTGCCCAGGCCAGGCAGATGCTGAGATTATGAAGCTGCATGGGATGGCAGCCGGAGGTGCTGACTCAAATAGAAGTCCTCCTTTGCTGACTGGTTAATGCAATAAAAGCAATTTCATTCAAGCACTTATTTTAGAAGTGAATGCATTCTGGAGAAAATAGTACTGGGCACCAAAAGCAATAAACATGGTGGAAGATTCATAGAATAACAGCTGGGGGGAAAAAAAAAGTAAGCAAAACTCCATACCTTAGGTTCTATATCTGCAGCTATTGGTGATGCTGAGAGTGATGCATAGATATCAGATGTACCTTCCTCAGATGGAGCAGGGAAGGGGGTAACTGCAGGTGGGGCAAGTTCAACTATATACTGTCAGTATATATATATATAATATAAAAAAAAAAAAGGAAAAGAAAGAAAAAGTAATTCAAGTTTAATTATTGCTTGGAAAATTACAAAAAATAATATCTTTCTGTGTGCGTGTTACTCTCCAGGTGCTAATAACTGGAAAGCATACCAAAAATGATTATAGATCAACTTTAATTTCTAGCTGCATCTCAAGAGAACCTGTTTATAACACTGGGAAAGAACATATGATTTTCATAATTTCATAACACTACAGCTTCTTACTCATATGGATAATTACATTTAGAAAACACAGTGCCTAGATAATGTGCAGTCTTCACAATGCAAATTTCACTCCTGAACAGGGATCTTGTTGCTTTTTGGAATCAAAGACCCTCCTGACCTTCAGAAAGGACCCTCCAGACATTCAATGTGCTGCAGTAAAGTTGTAGCAACACTGCATCAAACATTTTAATATGTCACTGTAATTAAAGAATCACTGACGGTCCAGTATTTGTTGCTAGATCAACTTCTTGCCCCCATTTCTCAGTCCTGTGCTCATGGGAACACCTTGCTGGAATTATGCTGGTGTTTGAACTGCTGCTCCAGGAATGCTTAGGTAAGGAACGGACATTTTCTCTCCTGGAGTACCTGGATGTAGCACTTGTCCTTCATCCTCATTCGGTCTCTCTCAAGTGATGCAGAATGCTGCCTGGAGTCCTCTAAGGGACCAAGGTTTTGTGTTTCTGTTTTTTTCTTTTTTTGTGTGACATGTCAATCAGGGTGACAGAAGGCACTTTTGAATGACTAAGAAACAGTATACTAATGGTATGTTTTGGGCCTCTGCAAAGGGAAGTGCCCACTGAGAATACCAGGCAGATGTTCCAGTTCTGAGTCAGCTATTACAAAACAGGATTTTGCTTGCATGGTGCAAGTCAGCTGCATTAATTCACATCAGGGTAATTGCAGCTCCCATAAATTAAATTTCCTCATACCTCAGAAATCACAGCTAGATTGGTGTTTGGCTCATTTACAGTTACCTGCTATAGTTAAATACGCTAAAAAATATGAAAGATTCCATAATTTTTACGGTGAAAAAAAAAAAAAACAAAAAAGAAAAAAGAAACAGTGATGACCTTGTCAGTTTAATTTATTGTATTAAAAGCTTATTTCGTAGTCCAAAAAGCATTTCAGAGCTGATGTTTGGACATCGCCATTATCTTCAGGATTCTCTGCCATGTATCAGCTAGCCCAAAAAAGACACTGCTATTCCAGGTTTCTAAGAGCCCAAAAAGGAAGGAAGAACTTAAGTGAAGAAAAAGATAGATTTTATAGAGACAAAATCATTTTCAGCAACACCTGTGACCCAACATTTTACAGTACTCTGCTAGTGTCTAAATACTGACAAAGGAAATAGAAAGTTTAGGTTTTCTCATCAAAATGGAAAAACCCTTTGCTGAACTAAATGCTGTTCTTTCTAAACTGAACCAGAAGCTTTGTTTTCAAATTCCAATGTTGTTTAAAACCAGAGCTCTTTTGGTTTAGCAAGTATTTCAGCATTCTCTGATTTCTCAACCTGTATTTTCTCACTGAAAAATATTTGCTAAATTGGATGAGAATTCACAAGTAGTTTCCGCTTCGTTATAACTACTTCTTTTGGTCATTTAGCTAACTATTCACTTCTACTATGGTCTTTATTTAGATTCAAACATTTTCAACTTATTCACTTTGGTCTAAAAACAAATAAATAAATAGATAGATAGATAAATGAATAAGTAGGTGAGATTTTTAAAACCAATTCCTAGCTATTCTAATACATTTCTGTAGTATGGACAGGATTTTCAGACACACAGTTTTAGAACAATATTCTTACTTCAGTGCATCCCTTTAAAGAGAGCCATTCTTTATTCATCTGTTCTGTGTCTAATAATAACCCTTGGATCATTAAGAAATAACTAAATTACAGCAGAACTAGGCTCTTTAATGAGCCATAATAGTCTCAATATTCAGCCAAAAGTTTTTCAAAAGTCTCTGAAACTGCAATGCAGAATATGAAATATTCTGTTTAGTAGTAAGTTTATGAGCAGCACTACATTTTACAGCCAAAATATAGTGACCTAAAAATGCCATTCCGCATTGTTCCTCCTATACATTGTGTCCTTAACAAGTCCAGGGGAAAATCTGAACAAATGAATTGCGGTGAGAGCCCGAAGCCAACCAATGTATTTAAATGAATCCTTCTGATGCAATACTTTCCTTTAAAAAATACAATTAAGTCTTTGTATTTCCTTTGAACAAAACCTCATGTTTAATAGCACCATTGGCGCTGCATTGAAATCCATTTAAAAACTGGGAAGGAGACACAGTAAGTTTTACACAGTTAAAGCCAGCTTTTAAAAAAATGTTGCTAATTTTTGAAGTCCAGGTAAATCTGTGGCAAATTACTTCCACTGACCTACATTAAATAATTCATACTCCATTTTTTTAATTCCTGAAGATTTGTCATTATCTGAGCATTATTCACTATGACAAAGATGTATTACTCAGAGCGTCCTTTTGAATCAATGTAACTATTGAAATGTGAGAAACAGTTTGGCAAGACGATAACGCCTTCAGATTAATTGGCAATATTGTCAGGCACATTGCAGCCTAGCGGTCCAGGAGAACTCAGGCAGAAAGAAATGGCGAGGCAGAGCACAAACAGAGAGGACACATCAGTGTCAGCTGCAGGGAAAGGGACGCTCTGAAAGGGATCAGAGGAGCAGGAGTTAAATGCAGTATCAGGCGCACAGCACCTAATTCCTGGGTGCCAAAAGGCTCCTCAAACCACGCTGTCTAGCACAGGCTGGAGGCTGCTCCGGCCTCAGCGCGGTTCACGTGGGAAGCATCGCTCAGTGCCGCCCTTACTTTCCCACCCAGTCCCAGCACAGTCCCAGCTGAGGGCTGCAGCCCCTGCTTAAACACCGCCCTGCACTTATGCCCACACGCCGCCATTTTTCCCCAGAATTCTTTCTAGGAAAAGTTTGCATTAAAAAGGCCAAAATAGCAAAGTGTCAGACTGTGCAGCACAGAAGCCTGCAGACTTACCTCTTTGCTGAGGGCTAGCAAATTACCTTGTTACAAATGTAGGCAGAGCAATGAGTAAAATAGCATACAGGAACATTTCTAAAACAGGGTAATGGCAGGAAAGAAGATTGGTAAAGCATTCTAATAAATGAGTTCCACAGATGTGGTAGTTATTATAAAATTAGCTTTGCATAACTTACCAATATACCATTACATTTTTCCCCAGATGTTATCTGTTACTTGAATTAATTTTGCTTAAGTTACTATTATTGCAGATTTTATCCACACTGTATTTTATTATTTAAGTTTCTGTGGCATAAAACAAGCCCTGGCTGATAGCATTACTTTTAATAATATATGTAAGAGGTTTTAGTATTATACAAATGGCTGCTGGGTATATCTTAATAGTCATAGCACAGAACGTCTGCTTTCAAAATATTATGTAGATTAAAACCAGCTATTTACTTACACTCTAATTCGAGACATTGGAAAGGTTTGCAGTATTTATGCATGTGGCACGAAGGGAACCAATCTACTCAGGGAATAAATGTCAGGGCTTGAAAATTAGCAAAGCTGAGGTCAAGGTCAGTATGGATTTGCTAACATACTTGCTGAAAATTAGAATTTACAGTGTATGCTTATTTATTTCTTAAATGAGAAAAGAGACTGGGGTGGTGGTGTATTTGCTTCTTTGATACAAGGCTTTTGTATCACAGAGACATTTTTAAACCACCTTTTCAGCTCGGTATAATCTGAAATTCCGTACTCCTGTCCACAGAGACTTAACACAAATTCTCTGTAGCTAATCTTAGCAAACATAAGAAAATAATTATTTATAAGGATTGGAAAAATATCCCAAGTTCAGCATGGACCATTTCTAAAGCCTTGCAACATCTTTCAAAGCTTTTCAATGTCCTTCAGTGGGATATGGATTTGATTTTATATGGATGACAGATGCATTTAAAAATGTGTTTGTGTGTTATTCTCCATATTCATATCATCTGTGTAATTTCTGACTGGATTTCATAGGGCCTCACGCTTTCAGAGACCTGCACAGATTTCTCATATGTGATGTTTGTTATGAAACAAAATATTTAATATAGAGTTGACGTTACTTTGCCATTCATGCTAAGCATGCACAGCTGCTTACCTACCAATCTTCTGAATTTCACTTGCTGGAGTAAAAGGTATTTACAAGATATGGTTTGTTAGGTGCCTGTATTTCATGCGGTTAAATTTGAATGAATAACTAATGGTCAGAGAAACACTGCCGCATCCTTATTCAAACCCAGCTTTTTCCTCTCTTTAGTCTCCCAACAGATGCAAACACACTGAATCCACTCTACCAGCCTCAAAAGACATCGCCCAATAGTGTTCTCACCAGCGAGGTTTCTGGGAGGCTGCTGACAGCTCTTCAAATACATTTGCTGCCCTGTTTTGTAACAATACTATCTACAAGGTCCAAAGGACTGAGGGATGTTAGGAGGCACGCAGAAACTTAATCCAGATACATGATCCGTGCAGTGTGACTAAGATGGCAGAATTGGCTTCTGAATGCCTTCACTACACACGTTTGTGTTAATGTTTAAATCTGAGTGAAGATTAAGGAGGGACTAAACTTGGCCTCTGAAGAATGTTCCTCAGTTGCCAATGATGTACATGGAAAGCCCATGTGCATGTTCCTAGGCAGGAGTATTCTAACCACTGGTCCTTAAATGAGACAAAAGTTCACTGAGTCAAAGGTATTCTTTATGCTCTTTTTCCTCTATTTCAGAATTCAAGTTAATACATTTTAAAGACAGTTTTCCATATTTCTGAGCTGAGATGTGAATCAACTCTGCTGACAATACATCAGCAATTAATCTAGTTCAAAATAGCTATGTGAAGCAATTCGGTGCCTACACTGACAAAACAGGATCTACGCCTCCCCCCAGGAAGCTGTAAATCAGTCAGTGACA